GGGCAAACGAAACTGTCTGTTATATACGAGTGTCCATATTAAGTGGGTGTCCATAGGGTGGGGTTCCACTGTACAGTTTTAATGTATTTGCGCCCGCAATCCTAATCACCAGGTTGTTATTACCCATGTGCCACATATATGTAGCCAGCATTCGTGTGGACTTCCACTAAGAATGAATAGAATGCACAGAATGCAATTTGATCACGCGCCTTTCGACCTTCTGACACTCATAATCTGATCATGCATGTTTTGACTACCTGTCACGTGAAACTTACGCAAAGTACAGGGATGGAGCAAAAGTGTTTTGACCTTCGATTGTTGTCGCCTGCACTCCGTAACCTTTGGTTATTACTAGTATACTAAGTGATTTCGAGAGCAGAAAAATTTAGCAAAAGTAATTTACAATACCTGGGTATTCTGCTCCTCCAGTAGTTTGTCCCAAATTGGCAAGATCCATTCTTCAAACTTGCAGTAATTGTTGTTTGGTACAATTAAGTTGCCAATTCTGTTGATTCCTTTCTTGCGCAGTTCAGCACCACGCAATGAAAAATCACCTAAATATGAGGGGGCCATGCATTTCATAAGGTCTTCTTCAATACCTCCAGCTGTTGTAGCAACACAGTCTACCTGAAAGATGCATGCACTCCATCACCACAAATATACGAAAAACGCAACTGGGAGATAAAGGATCTTGATCTTCAAAACAAGAAATATTATTATTACCAAGACCCTTCTTTTTAAACATGGTGTTTAGTTCAACCTTTAATTTTTTCTTTTTCATTTGCCGCTCAGTTGAAGGAAAAAGGGACCTATATGTCACTTTATTACGAACTCACATACATAAAGTACCTTTTATGTATAGCCAAGGATCTAGTAAATTCACCTATGAAATAGCTGTACTGTATAAATGTCTTACCTACCATATTATTCTTTAGCAAGTATTTTATGGTCTCTCTAACACCACTTGATATCATGTTAGAAGTGAAGCCTAAAAATATCGTACAATTATCCATCGGTCGTTCATCAGGATCGACATGGTTAGTGGCAGCCTCGTCAGTAGCAGGAACAGGTTCAAGCTTCTTTTGGATCTAAACAGTAAAATGAACACGTGTTTCAGTGGGAGCCAGTAAATATGGATATCAAAGGGACATCCAATTGTATGTATTGTCCAGGTATTCATTATAGGTGGGCTGTCAAAATAGATGTCGCAGACACAAGTTCCACTGATATTAAGACTTAGACGCAAACACCTTATAAGCCCTTGCATGTAGTTACACAAGAAAAAGGCCACCGTCCCCTCAAAATCCTTATAGCCACCTCCACCCCCACCCCATAAATAATGATTGCTCCCTCAGACTGTTCAGTATTTTTACCCATACAGGTATTACTTAGGGTTGTGAGTAAGGCGCTATCTGTACATACTGACATGCTGTGTTGAATGAAGCGTCCGATGTCATCATCTTTAGTGCAATGAAAAACACCATAAAACTTAGTTAGCAGTCTGTCTCCTTAAGGCTGCAAAGAAAGCCTGAGCCATGCCCAGACTGGTATTCTTAGCGGGTATGATTCTTAATTTCCGACGAGCATTCCCTCCTTGTTAATTCTTGGTTTGCAACCACGTGACAAGGCGGCCATGTTGGGGGTCAAAACAAAAGAATATTTCCTCAAAGAATTTACATGAAAACAGAGTTTAGTTCCCAGAGGAGAGAAATGCTTTTGTTCTTAACCACCAACATGGCCGACGTGACGTCACGTGCAAACCGGCAATTTGGGAGTCCCCCATTCACACTGGTTTTTTATGAGCACTGTCGGCAGAATAAACAATTTTAAGAGCATGATCACTTATCCAAACTTTCATCCCAGATACAAAATCACGACGTGACTGGGTCTTTAGAAATAAAATAATAATATTACTCTGACTGATCGTTATGTACAATGCTCTTACCATCTTGTTTATTTCCTCCACTGCTTTTCCAAAGTTGGTGGCCTGAAACCCCGTACTTTTGTATGAGTCAAGCAAAGCGTGATAGTCTACCCCGTCGCTAAAGTCATACCCCCTTATTTCCAAAGAATCTACGGCGACCGGTTCACTAGAAGCAAGAACTGCGTCCTTAACCAACTGAGGGAGTTCAGACATTTCCAGAAAATTATACCTCTCACTATCACAATTTACTCTAGAATACCTCTCACATGGTCCATGGTTCCATCGTTTTGGTTGACTATATGGCATTCAGCCATGAAGGCCCACGTAATTCGGGCAGCGGTAAACAAACTAGGAAGACTGGGAACTATCTATTGCGGCTGCTCTCAAAAGCTTAACCGCTGAACAGAAATGAGCATTGGTGGCATCTCTGCTAAATTCAGCATGAGGAGAAGTAGACGTTTAGCAGCGAAAAAATCGTCCAAATTTTCGGAAACCGAAGGTAGTAGCCAAGAAGAAGCTTCAGATTTAAAGAATGACAACGAGAAAACTTTCTTCACGAAAGGTCACGATTTCGTTATTGATAAAACTCCATCACAACTTGTTACTGGTACTATAGACGACCACGTGCATGTAAAGAACATCACTCAAAGTCGCGTTAGTGTAAACAATGCTGCTGCTGATGATGAGCTTTCCAGTAATGACAGCGATGATGAAGAAGATGGAAATGATGAAGATGTCAACAATCTTTTGAATTTAAGAATAACGAGTTCACAAAAAGATGAAGGAAAAGTAGAGGACTTTATTAGCCTTTCAGATGATAAATCCAAAACAAGAGAAGAAAAAAAGATTAAGGAAAGGAAAGGAAAGAAAGAAAAAGAGTAAGTTTTCAGACTTTCAGAAAAAATAACGACAAAGTATGGTGAACCTTTATTCACCTCTCTTAGAATGAGTATTACATTACGCTTAAAAAAGAGGAGCAAAATCAATGGCTGCTTTTATGCTAGAGGCATGTAAGTTGTCAAGAAGCATTTAATGTCTGGGATGTTGAAGTTGATTGATGTGAAATTGGGACGCATAAAAGTGGATGACAACAGTGCAAAAAAAAAGAAAAACAGATTATTCTCAAAAAAGACAAAACACTGACTCTTCCCAGTTATTTCTGGAGGAATTGGGCATAAGTGAGTCCCAGTTTACGGTATCCCCTTTTTTTACTAGATGCATGTTAAAGTCATCTGTTGAGTGCATCTGAACAATGCACTTAAAAGGAGACTTTAAAGTCGTCAGACATTAAATGTCTCTGTCGTATTTATCATCTTTATACTAGACGATGACTTTAACGTCTCAGTCGACTAAAATGTCTCTAGCTTAAAAACAGCCAATGGGTCTGTTTATCCGAGAGTTAAAGTGCCCCTAACCCCTCAATTTGTTTTCTTTTGGTAGATTTCCATATCTTTCAAGAACTCATTTTCGAAAAAAATTTTCAGAAATATTGAATCCTTCTTTTTTTACAAGCACTAAAAGTGAAGGCAGTCTTGTTGATATTTTCACCTATCGTTTGCATTAGTCCCTCACTCGGCCAAATGTGTCCAAATATGGAGTGTGACGTAAGAAAAGGACATTGTGCAAAAATATGCGAAGATTTGCGGTAATGCTTTATTGTTAAACAGAGAAAATGGTTGAAAAATGTGTGGTTTTGGGATGCAGCAACTCTCGAAATAAAGAGAAAGGAATCAACTTGCATAAGATTCTTTCTGATCTTCGATTGCACTATACTTTCAATGCTTCGTGCTTTGGAATGGTGTCCTTTTCTTACGTCACAGCTATGAAAGTGTCAAATATCAGACGGTTCTCACTGGCTCATTCCTCATGAGCCCACAAGACAAAAATTTGTCCAATGGGGCTTAAAGCGTGCAAAAATTTAAAAATTTTAGTAACTTTTAGCACTCGTAAGAAAAAAGGATTTCTGAAAAATTCTTTCGAAAATGAGTTCTTGGAAGATATGGAAATCTACGAAAAGAAAACAAATTGAAGGGTTAGGGGCACTTTAAACGATGGACGATTATCCATATACATTAAATTATCTGTGTCAGTGAACTCTTCTGGTACAAAAACATGACAGTGAAACCCACTGGTAATTTGCCTTGTCATTTTTCTATGTGTTATAAATCCGAGCAAACTGATGGATTATCCATCCTGAATAATAATAATAATAATAATGATAATGATAATGATAATAGTAATAGTAATGATAATGATAATGATAATGATAATGATAATGATAATGATAATGATAATGATAATGATAATGATAATGATAATGATAATGATAATGATAATGATAATGATAATGATAATAATAATAATAACAGTAATTATAATAACTATCCTCTTGGGATTATGCATAAGGACAAACTAAACATATTGTTTATTCAGACAGATAGCAGATAGTGTCTGTCGGCCCCCTCCATTTTTCTAATGGATTGCTGCTATACAGTGACTCAAATTTTCTGACTTTGTTAACAACCTGCTCGGTTATTTGAGACAGAAATTTCCACCTTTTTTGGCATATCCTGCAACATCTTTTTCAATTGTCATTGATTTAGACAACTATCAACATCCACACCATTATTAGAAGCATTCAAAACCTGTACTAGGGTTCACTCTCTGGAGTCTCACTAGAAAATAAGTGATACGAGACTTACTGATGCTTGTTTTTGTTTAATTTGGTGGCCAGTTAATTTACTTAGGATCCTTTTTAAGATGGATTTCATGGTATACTGATGCATTGGTAGCTAAGTATATTATTGCAACCCAGATCTCATTGTTTGATGATTGTTTTTTCAAGTACACATCACCCGAAATTTGATAAAATTTTGATGAATTCTACATGCTTTCGACTTTGAAACAGGGTAATATCGGATTGAATCAGATAAAACTAATGGACTCCGTGCTTGGTTAAAGGATGACGAAATTTGCCCATTTGAACAGTCGAGTGAAATGATGACATATTTTGAGGCATTGTCCTCAGCTGTGCTTCACTCTGTTGTAGCTTCTGTCTTAATTCGTCTTCAACAGCTGTCATCCTATTGTACTCTTGGATAATCTGTTGACTGGCCAAAGGCTCATAAGGCCTAGTTGGGTAGTTGGGTCATTTTTATTATTGATCATAATCACATTTTCAATACTACGAAAAAAAATAGGGTCATAATTTGCGACTTCTTCGTGGAAATTTTGTTGGATATTAGTTACAAACCTGAGAATAAGATTCCATTCTGAGTTGTCAGAATCGACGCTTGACAGGCTTTTCTTGTGAGACATCTTACTTAGATGAGAAGATGGTGGTTCAACTTAGACTAAGCAAAACAGCAGCAATGAGAATGACAAAAAAAATGATGGCTGGTTTGGATTAGGAAAATAATAGTTATGCGTGTGCATCCAGCATTTTTGTATATTTCCTTGTCGTTGTGGCACAACCAGGATATGAAACTTCCAATTTCACCTTTTGTGGAGGACATAAACACAAGACTTGAAATGATTTTCTCAATCTAGCTGTACATGTACAGTCCTCTAGAATATAACTCCAGAAAAATTCACCAACATTTGACAAATTGAACGACACAGGAAAAGAGCAATGAGTATTGAAACAGTGTGGATTCACTTTTTAAGAGACCCAGTCCCACACGATGTTGAACTCTGACCAGCATGCTGGGCATAAGGAGATCAGTCCCTCAAAATATGTCTCTCACCCCAGCCCAGAATGTCATGGCCCAAGATATTAATTCTACATATTTAAAAAGTAAAAAAAAACTGACATTTATCTAAAATCAAAAACAATCTACAGCATCATTCACTACAAGCTTGCTATTTTTATTCTATTCTTTAACATGCTTTTTGAGTCTTGATATTTGTTTCTTACAATAACGGAACATCAGGGTCCAAACTTCAGATTCAGACTTAAAGGAGTTTTCAGTAAATGATACTGTTTGCAGAACATTTCCTTTCGGTCAGCTCTTTCTGTGGCCTGTACACTGTTGACTTTCTATTTGCTTATTCTAGCTTTATAGAACTCTCATCAGAGCTTCAAGTGAACATCAATACAGACGATTTATATTTCAAGTTTGACAAAAAGAACTTCAAACCTGTCTCATTTAGCAAAAGCTTTGATGACTTTGCCTTCAAGGATAAAGAGGTAAACATAATATATTTCATTCTACTAGTTACACAGTGAAATTTTGTGTTGACAAGTTAACCTGCTTTTAGTTCCTCACTTTGAGACTAACCATTAATTTTGCAGTTCATCAAAAAGTTACATCCATCATTAAAAACAAATGGCCAGCAGATTTAAAAAATATTGTTAATTTCGTCTGTTTTCTTTCAGCTTATGAAGCGAAGCGTACTAACAAGTGACTTTGAAAAGCGGCATTCTGTACCCCCTATGCATGTTTCACAGCAAGCAATCAGAAAACAAAAGAAGGTAGGATCAGGATTATTCTATTAAGTTAATCTATCTTAATATCGTTAAGATGGCTCAACACAGTTTGATACAGACTGTAGGTTGTGGATGGTTGAATACCACAAGGCCAATTCATTGGGGTGTTGTATTTCAGACTTGTTGTCAGGTATTTAACTCAAGTTTGGCATGTTTAAAATATATGTTTAGGGTTGAACTTAAGATTTCAGTTGTTCCCATGACAACATGGATGTTTGAAAACAGGACTAAAATTTTAGGTTTACATTTTTGTTAGGTTATGCACAGCTTACATTTGGTAAGCTTCATTTTTTAAAAAAAACTTAACCAAATTGTATCAAACAGTTTTGAAATTTGTTAGAAAATAGCTTTCATGAGAAGCTTGATTGTGTCATAAAACTCCTTTTTTCAACTTTTATTTTAGGGCTGTTATTGACTGAAGTGTTATGTGAACAGGATTTCTGCCAAAATTTGTCAAATTGTTATGACCAGATTTATAGATATTTTTGTTTCTTTACGTTGTCTTTGAAAGTCAACAAAACAAGCACCCTGACCTTGCTTCCTATTAAGTAATGCAAGTGCAACATTTGTGATGCGGTTAATAGATCAAGCAATATGTCAAGGGCAGTAAATTTCTACTGGCAGCTTATGGGCGTTTTTCTCAGCTTGTCCTAGCAATTTTAACAGCTTATTAGTGGCATATATTTTATGGTAAAGATGTTAAAATGTACTGTAAAGGAATAAAGCATTTCTAGAGAAACTATGTTCAGCCACCTTAACCCTTTAGGTTCCAAGAGTGACCGACATCAATTTTCTCCTAACAACATCAGCAGATCAACAAGAGTAAAGGTTATGAGAATTACTAAATTGATTACCAAAGGGAGAATGCTTTGATCTTAAACCAAATTCTCTCAACTGTTTTAAAAGAAATGTATTGAGATCAGTCTGGAGAATTTGTATGTGGATCTTAAGGTGGTGTTGAAGGGCAAGAATTATAGTACAATACTGCTAGTAGTGTTCATGCACCAGACCTCCAGATTCTGATGTCAAGCAATAGATCATGCCATGCTGAATACATTGTTAAACTTTGCCAATTGAAATTAACCTTGATAGTCTCTATTCTGCTCAAGTAATTGTAACTTTTTTTATTTAAACGATGATAGCAAGAGAATTCTGAATTCACTGATTGTAGGGCAAAAAATATCGAGGGAAAACCCTACAACTGTATATTCAGAATCTGTGTGATTTTGAATTTGTTAGAAAGCCAGAGGAGAGACAGCAGGACCAATGTGGTATAACTTACCAGCAACTCAGATGACTCCAGAAATAGAACAGGATATGAAGATAATGAAGATGAGAAATATCCTGGACAGAAAACGACATTATAAGAAGAATGACTCCT